AAATGGCTAGGTCTCCTGAGGATTATATAGAGCAAATGTTTTCATAATAAAATCTGCTCAAAGGTTTAATTACTAATAATATAGCAGATTAGGAATAAATATAAATATTACACATGTGGCTAAAAGGATTTGCATAAAATTAAAATAGTTTTAATACAAAATTTTGCAATAAAGTTGAGAAAATAAAGATTCTTTAAAAATACAACTTCATAAAACTCTAGATTCTGCAGCACTGGGGAAATGAAATAAGTACACAAGGAGTTACATTGACAACTGCATGATAATGAAAATGCCCATCTTCTATAAACCTAGCACAAAGAGTCTGGGAAAATGGATATTTAAAATGTAATCTTCCTCTATTACACGTACTTTCCTAAATGAGGTTCTTAAGCATATCTGCAGAACGTTTTTCAGGCAGGAAAACAAATTGAGGCTGTCACACACATATGGTATTAATCCTCCCAACTTTTCTTGGGAAGGCAGTTCGTTGAAAGCAAGTGCTAAAAGAAATGACTTCACCTCAGTAACAGTATTTTCATATGTGCAGCCAATGTGTGATCCTTATGAATATCCCACAGCAAAATATGACCTATGACATTGAGATTGAGAAGTGATCCTGTTCATAGGTTCACTTAACCTAAATGGAATTTCAGAGTGTTGCCATCATACATTCCAGGTAAACCCCACTGGAGTCTGGCTCTGTTACTGAACCCAGCAGAAGTTCCCAGGAGGCCAGCATCATCACTGATGAAATGACAGCTGTATTAGGTGTTGCTCAAACCCAACAGAGATTTAGGAATTTCTGCCTTTGGAAACATGCCTCACGTCTAGTCATATCAACCACTCCATTATTTTCTCAATAACTTTTTAGATTCCCAGAGAAAACAGCTTTTTCAGTTGCCCTGCAGCTTTTCCAGTTGCCCTACGAGATATTTTGTAGACTTACATTTGGTAAGACTGAAAACTATGTTACGTTTATAGCAAAAAATACAACCTATGCCAGATACTTTGGAGAAGAGGATTAGAGGCAGCAGGTGGTTACTGACCCCATAGCCCGGAAATGTCTACGTTTTGAAGATCAGTAATTTTTTTCTTTGGACTACAGATAGATTTTAAATACAAGTCACATGTATCTTGCAAGTGTTTTTTTAATCTCCATGAAATATTTCATTCTGAATATGAAGAAAATAAAACTTGCCTTGGACTGAGAAAGTAAATATCTGCCCAACATTCAACAGGCTGAAACAGCAGACACTGTTAAGCCAACTGCAAAGTTAACAGGAAACGACATTTCTCCCAGGGACATTGCTGTTGTAAAGTGTCACGGTAACCTCCTTCTGTGAGTGACTATAGACTGAGAAGCTTTCTTCTCTAATATCAAAGACAATCAGTGAGTTCGCTGTTTAAAATTACATCAGTAAGAATGAAACATCTCACCCTTGCCTGGAGGATCTTATTTGCAGAGAAGCAGCCCCAGTTCCCACTTCTGGTAAGAAGCCCCAGATAAGAGGCTTGGGGATGCAACAGTCCACATTTATCTTAACTTTATTGTTTCCAAAGAAATAGCAGTCACGCCTCATGTTGCAGACCAGACCTGCATCTAAGCTCCACTCTTCCTAGAATCCTAAAACAACCCTTTTTCCTCTAGTGTTTAGTCTCCTTCATTGCGTTGGGTCAATAAACCTAATTTTGTCGGATTACAGGTTAGTTCTTATTATTCTTAGGCTGACTGAGATAGGGCCACGTTTTTTTTGTTTGTTTGTTTGTTTTTTGAGACGGAGTTTCGCTCTTGTTACCCAGGCTGGAGTACAATGTCGCAATCTCAGCTCACGGCAACCTCCACCTCCTGGGTTCAAGCAATTCTCCTGCCTCAGCCTCCCGAGTAGCTGGGACTACAGGAGCACGCCACCATGCCCAGCTAATTTTTGTATTTTTAGTAGAGACGGTATTTCACCTTGTTAACCAGGATGGTCTCGATCTCTTGACCTCGTGATCCACCCGCCTCGGCCTCCCAAAGTGCTGGGATTATAGGCGTGAGCCACCGCGCCCGGCCGGCCATGTTTTTATCATATGCTAGAGCTAAAGAAAATATCTGCTGCATAAATAGTAGTTCCGAATTTTAAGCATTTGCTATTAGATATTGAAATAATATATTTAATAGAATACATCTTTGCAGTATCAGTTCAGTCTCCTGTGCCCTGCGAATTTTAAATTCTATATACCAGCTTCTCATCTAGGCAGAAACATTCTGAGCACAAGGAAACCCGCTGTGACTACTGAGATGATCTTTTCTGGCCCTGCTGCTGCTAAAGTAACCTGTGGCAAAACTTTCCTGTTTCTAGAAATAGCACAGTTGGTAACACAAGCAAGACTTGCCCGTGAGAATATGAAGCTCTTTGTGAAGCTAAAATAGACAATAAAGAGAAATAGGTAGGCACAGGTCCCAGGTCTCCCAAACAGGGTCTGTCTGCACACCTGGTTGAAATGTAAGGCTGACATAATTAAGAAGTAATTAGGCCGGGTGTGGTGGCTCAAGCCTGTAATCCCAGCACTTTAGGAGGCCGAGGCCGAGGAGGGTGGATTACCTGAGATCAGGAGTTCGACTAGCTTGACCAACATGGAGAAACCCCGTCCCTACTAAAAACACAAAAATTAGCCGGGCGTGGTGGTACATGCCTGTAATTCCAGGTACTCAGGAGGCTGAGGCAGGAGAATTGCTTGAACCCGGAAGGCAGAGGTTGCGGTGAGACAAGATCATGCCATTGCACTCCAGCCTGGGTGACAAGAGCGAAACTCTGTCTCAAAAAAAAAAGCAACTGGGAGAAGTCTATAATCCCAGCAATTTGGGAGGCCGAGGCGTGTGGATCGCCTGAGATCAGGGGTTCGAAACCAGCCTGGCCAACATGGCAAAACCCTGTTTCTAGTAAAAATACAAAATTAGCTGGGCGTGGTGGCACATGCCTGTAATCCTAGCTACTTAGGAGGCTGAGGCAGGAGAATCACTTGAACCCGGGGGCAACAGAGGTTGCAGTGAGCGGAAATCGCGCCATTGCACTCCAGCCTGGGCAACAGGAGTGAAACTGTCTCAAAAACCCAAAGCCAAACCAAACCAAGCCAAACCAAACCAAACCAAGCCAAACCAAACCAACCAAACAAACAAAAAACAAAACAACAACAAAAAAAGAAGTAAGTGGGAAGGTCACTCAGAGCACACGCCTCTTCCCGGAGGTTGGAAGCGTGCTTCCGCCATACCCATGGGAGGAGCCATAATCGTAGGCTGAGGCTGCCTTCCGACTGACTTCAGAGCTCAGGGCATACTGCGAGGCCTGCTGCTGGAAGGAGGAGGCAGACGCCTGACGGAAGGCCTCGGATTCCTGGCGGTGCGCGGCGGAGGAGCGGCTACTGTAGGCCGTGGAGCCCTGGGTGTAGATGGCAGAGCGCTTCTTCTCCTGCTGGTAGTGGCTCATGGTGGTGCGGAGGTCCTTGTTGCGGTAGCTGAGATCATAGTGCTGGTGGGACCTCTGATAAAAAGGCAGAGACATCCTGTGCCCCTTGAGGGAACTGGGCCACCTGAAAGAAGACCACACTTTTTGAGTGAATTATTAAGGAACAAATTCCATAGAACAAGTCATCTAAACCAATCTGTAAAAATCAGTACTCTTGGCTGGCTGCGGTGGTTCATACTTGAAATCCTAGCGAGGATCAGTTGAGGCCAGGAGCTCAAAATCAACCTGGCCGACACAGTGAGACCCTGTCTCTACAAAAAAAAAAAAAAAAAAAAAAAAAGGCAAGAAAGAAATAAAGGAGAGAAAGAAAAAAGAAAAGAAAGAAAAAGTTAGGCGGGTATGGTGTGTGTGCCTGTAGTCCCAGCAACTCCAGAGGCGGAGGCAGGAGGATTGCTTGAGCCCAAGACTTCGAGGCTGCAGTTGCACTCAGCTTGGGTAATAGAACAAGACCCTGTCTAAAAAAATCAAATAAATATTAATATTCTTATGTTTTCCAAAAAGTAAACGGAGAAGGGTATGAAGTTTAGCATAACTGGATATTTAAAAAACTCCATAGCCCAGATGTGCCACTCCTGTCACTGTACCTTTCTTTTTTTTTTTTTTTTTTTGAGAGGGACTCTTGCTCTTTCACCAGGCTGGAGTGCAGGGGCACGATCTTGGCCCACTGCAACCTCCGTCTCCCGGATTCAAGCGATTTCCCCTCCCTCAGCCTCCTGAGTAGCTGGGACTATAGGCGCACCACACACCCGGCTAATTTTAGTAGAGACGGGGTTTCACCATGGCCGGGATGGTCTTGATCGCCTGACCTCATGATCAAAGGGTTGGGATTATAGGTGTGAGCCACTGCGCCTGGCCCATGGTACCTTTTAAAAAAAAAAAAATTGTATATAGGAGGTCTTGACAAAGTTTCTCTATCCTGGCTATTGTGCTTTTTCCTCAGACTCTTCATAATACATATTTCTAATCGTCTGCCATTTCATTCTTCATTTGGGACTTCATTTGGGACAATATGGAAGGATAGAGTCATGTGGTGTTCACTCAATAAATAATTAGCAGCACCTACTGTGTGCCTGGTACCATCCAGTAGTGAGGCTGGGCACAGTGGCTCATGCCTGTAATCCAGTATTTCAGGAGGCCGAGGCAGGCGGATCACTTGAGGTCAGGAGTTCAAGACCAGCCTGGCCAACATAGAGAAACCCCATGTCTACTAAAAATACACAAACTAGCCAGGCATGGTGGTGGGCACCTGTAGTCCCAGCTACTCTGGTGGCTGAGGCAGGAGAATCACTTGAACTCAGAGGTGGAGCTTTCAGTGAGCCAAGGTCACGCTATTATACTCCATACTGGGCAACAGAGCAAGACTCTGTCTCAGAACAAAAAAGAAAGACAGAGGTAAACAAAACAAACAAAATGCCTGTTCTAATCACCTGTACAGAACCCAACAGTCTACTGCAGGAGAAAGATAATAAAGAAAACAAGTATGAGATAGGTTAATGTGCCAAGTGCTGTAGAGAAAAACAAAGCAGGTAAGAGGGATAGATGCAATTTTCAACAGCCTCAGCAGGGATGGCTTTCCTAGAAAGTAACATCTGAGCATGAAACTTTCTGGGGAAGAGTATTACAGATGAAAGACCAGCACAAAGACACTGAAGAATGAACATGACTCCCGTGCTCCAGGAACCACGGATTGGCAGAGGTTCTGGAGGAGGGAGAGGTATAGGAAAGGATGTCAGAGAGGTGAGCTCTATGTGTGGGGGAAGGGCCAGTAGTGTAGGGTCCTATAGGTAGCAGTAAGGACGTCGGCCCTTATTGTGAAAGGGCTGAGAAGCCATTGGAAGACTCTGAGCTGAGACTCATTCTCACTGATGTCTGAAGATGGACTGTGGAGGGATGAGAGTGAAAGCCAGGAGACCCATGAAAGGGCTAAGCTGTATCCTCTCAAAATTCCTAAGTTGAAGCCCTAACCTCCAGTACCTCGAAATGTGACCATATTTGGAGATAGGGTCCTTAAAAAGGAAGTTAAGTTAAAATTAGGCCATTATGGGACCTAATCCTATATGATGGTGTCCCTACAGGAAAAGAAAACCAAGACCCAGATATGTACATAACAGAGGGAAGACCACGTAGAAACACAAGGAGAAGGCCATCTGTGAGCTAACAAGAGACTGGAGAAGAAACCAACCCAGATGACACCTTGATCTTGGACTTCTAGCCTCCAGAGTTGCAAGGTAATAAGTTTCTGTTGTTTAAGCCACCCAGTCCATGGGACTTTGCTATGATAGCCCTGGCAAAAGAATACAAAGGCCACTGAAATGGTACAGGCTAGAGGTGACAGTGGTAGCAGTGAAAGTGTGAGAGATGGTCAAGTTCTGCACAGGTTTTGAAGTTGGAACCAATGGCATTTGCTGAAAGTTCTGAATTAGGATGTGAAAGAAAGATGACGCCAAGGTTTTCGCCTGAGCAACTGAAAGACAAGTTGCTGTTAACTGAGATGGGGAGGAATGTGGGAAAGTATCAATTTGCGGTGGAAGAACAAGAGATTGGTTTCAGTGCTCTGCATCTGAGAGGCCTGTTAGATCTCCCAGAGGAGATATTTTACGTGGGAAGTTGGATAAGTGACTCTGGAGTGCAGGGGAGAGGTCCAGGATGGAGATCTGCGTTTGGGAGTCAACAGCATATAGGTGGTATCAAAAGCCAAGAAAACAGTTGAGAAGTATTATACACAGAAAAGAAAGTCCTAAAACTGGGCCAGGCATGGCGGCTCATGCCTGTAATTCCAGCACTTTGAGAGGCCAAGGCAGGAGGATTTCCTGAACCCAGGAGTTCGAGTCCAGCCTGGGCAACATGGTGAGATCTTGTCTGTATTATAAAATATAAGATAAAATAAAGTCCTAAAACTGAACCCTGGAGTATGCGAATCTTATATATAACCTCTCTCAAATCTCACAAACACTTCAAGCAAAGCCATAGTCTCAAACCAGAAAAAAAAAATTGTTTGCTCCATAAGGAATATGCAGGCTTCTAGTCTCCCTATGTAAAGAGGCAAGAGAATTGATTCCCAGGGTGGCAGCTGGCATTGTGAACTTGAGCTAACAGTTCTACTGAAAGTCAAAGGTATGTTTGTTTAGCTTAGGGTAGGGAGATGTCACATTGCCTCAGCTTTCTTGAATAGTCAGTCTACCGATAGCAGGCCTCTCAGCCAGGTTGACAACCCTGGATGAAGTAATAGTTTTATAAAAGTTCCACCACCAAATGTTTTAATAGTGTAGAATGAATTTTAAAGTGATCTGTTTTCTCCAAATCTCATTTTTAAAAAAAATTCAAAATGAAGAATGAATCCTTCTTGGTCAAGTTTAAAACTACTTTTTATTTAAACTATTTTAAAAGTCAGCATGTATTCCCTGGAGAAGAAAATCGAGCAAACTTCACTCCAGAAATATTTATCTTAGGGCTCATGGAAGATATCAGTCTACATGGCATGTCCTAAGAGAAAAAAATAGCTACCAGCAAGCAACTTTGCTTCAGCCCCTAAATAGATTGCTATTTTCTGCTATAAAATATAGAGGATAATTACCATGTCTAATTAATAATTACTAGATGAATGTTGCTAAAACAAAGGGGTTAGAAAATGTTAATACAGAATTATGTTAGGCAGATATAAAGATATTAGAGAAGTTTATTATGATACATACTACATTATAACATGGCACGTTATTTGAATGATTGTCAAATAAATAATAAAGAACCTTGTTATGTGTTGTTATAAACTCAATTCACTCCCCCAAATGATTTTAAATGCTGTTATTTTTACAAAATGAAAATTGTAAATGTCTTGCCCAAATACTATTTTTTATTTTCCCCAAATATATTTATTTTTAATAATAGTTAACATTCCTCTCACAAAGATAGTAGGTTACAAGTAAACAGGATTTGAGTTGAAGTCGACACTGCTGATTGTCACTGCCCTGACCTCTGGAACAAAGGTACAACCACCCCCTCTTCATCAAGTAAGTCCTTGAAGTCAACTAAAGCCAGGGTTAGCCCCAACACATGACAGCTGGAGTATGTTGGGAGAAAGGATGGTTTTAGTGTCTTTTTTTTCTTTAAGACCTAAATTTTCTTTCTGAAAATAATTTGAGATTTTAGGAAGAAATACACATTCCATAGCTTTTGATGAAATACATTCCATGATACTTTTGTACAGGCATTAGAGGGCAAAAGTGGATGAAAACGATTTCCAGAAAGATCACTATGTGGAGCTCTATGTTGCCTCTGAAATACTACTTAACCATTTTGAGGCCATGAATATCATTGTGCACGCTCACATTTATCCACATTGCATTGTCACAGCAAGATCACTGAATTATCAACTAGCGACTTCAGAGTTCACTTTCCTTCTTTTGGTTTAATTTGTAACCAGGAAGCATTGTATGGCACATGGAGGATTGAAAATGCAGGGCCTCCTGTCTCTCATCCATTCTATATTTCAACCAAACTGTACTTGGAAAGAGCATTTAACACACGCTTACAGTTTGATCTGAGGCAAATATGACCTCCTTACAGTTCCAGGAACAGGAGCTTAATTTCAGAAGAATACAGTGATGAGAGAGAAGAGCTGTGCCAGCCCAACTGGCATCCGCCTGTTCTGCTTTCCCTCCCTGGAGCTTCACTTTCCTATTTCTCTGTTATTCTGACATCTCTTTGAGAAAACTGCTGAGTTCAGAAGCCAGAAAGCAACCACTGCAGTGCTGCTAAGCTCATAGGCTATCAAGTGCATTCTTCTGCCTCAGTGTCACACTTACCAGTTTCCAAAGGAGTAATGGTGGTGGAAATGTTCCGATGAGGCCGAGGAGCTGGATGAGAGAATGAAAACTCCACTGAGGTTGAATCCAAGAAAATGTTAAGAGGCAGGGCTAAAGACAGGACCCTGGGGGCCAGTTCAAAAATAATGCATGTGGTCAGGCAGTCGAATGTCAGGCCACACAGCCAGCCTTTTATGGCCAAGAAGGCAGATAAATATAGCAGCAGATGGGGAGGGTAGTCCCAAACCAGGAGGAGGAGAGGGGCACGGGCAGGTAGCTGCCTCAGGAATGTCATTACGTAATGCCGATCAATGGGTGTGGCCCGATTAAAGCAAATAGAGGATTTTCATTTGGCAGCAAGAGGTGTTTTCATTATCACTTTATCATTAGATAATTTTAAAGCGTAATGGAAAGAGTGGTTTGTGTGTTAAGAGCTAAAAATAGGTGTAGTAATATGATTCTCAAAATGGACTTCATGGAATTTTAATGCCAAGATATGGTTCTGGGCATGCTGTTAATAACACTTGTACAGTACATTTAAAAGATACAAAGAACTTAAAGACATACAGTACATTTAAAAGAAAAAAGAACTTGAAGCTAACTAAAGGGAAAACAAGGAAGAAATGGGTTACACGTGGTGGCAATTTTTGCCTGACATCAAGGTCACTATTTCTCTCATTTCAGGAAAATTTAGAAAGTTAAGTCCCAGCTTCAAGACTGATATTTGATTTCCTGTTGATTAACTAAAGCCTTTTGAGACGCAACTCAGTGTTTTATCTTTCCTAATTCAGAGTAGGGTCAGTCCATCTAATAAGAGATTCTCTTTCTTTGTTCTTAAAATGGTGTGACCAAGTAAGAGGAGGTAGAACCCGGTGGTGAGAGCCTGTGTTGTGGATTCAGACCAGATCTAGTTCCCACTATACTAATAGCGTAGCCACATAACCTCTTGCAATGTATTTCTCCTTCCTAAGCGTTGCATTTTTTGTATATAAAATGGGGATAATAATATTCAAATTATAGGATTGCTATGGCAATTAAATCTGATACTGCAGACAGAGCACTTAACCTAGTGACAGTCACATAATATAGACTCAATAAATATAAGCTATTATTACTGATAGCAATAATATCAAAGCTCATTGTTAGATTATATGCATTCAGCAGGTTGGTGTTTTGATCTATTGGCCTTATGATCTGACAGTGATATTACATCAACTGAACAAAGATCACTTGTGTCTATTACATTTTTTTTTTCTTTTTGAGACAGGGTCTCACTCTGTTGCCCAGGCTGGAGTGCAGTGGTACAGCTCACTGCAACCTCTGCCTCCCCGGCTCATGCAATCCTCCCATCTCAGCCTCCTGAGTAACTACAGGCTCTTGCCACCACACCCGGCTAATTTTTTTTTTTTTTGGTAGAAATTGAGTTTCACCATATTGCCCAGGCTGGTCTCAAACTCCCGGACTGAAGAAAGCCACTCACCTGGGCCTCCCAAAGTGCTGGGATTAACAGGCTCTTGCCACCACACCCGGCTAATTTTTTTTTTTTTTTGGTAGAAATTGAGTTTCACCATATTGCCCAGGCTGGTCTCAAACTCCCGGACTGAAGAAAGCCACTCACCTGGGCCTCCCAAAGTGCTGGGATTACAGGCATGAGCCACCGCGACTGGCCCATCATTACTTTCTTGATGATGACTACAGTTAACACTGTTGAGGACCTATCTAGTGCCAGACACTGGGATAGGCAGCTTATATACATGATCCTGCTGAATTCTCATCATATCTTGTAAGGAACAGCTTCATTACATAGTCGAGGAAAGCAAGGCTTCCAGAAGGGAAGGCATTTGCCAAAGATCACACAGCTGGTAGACAATGGAAATGCAATTCATTCAGAGAGATTTGATTCCAAATCCCATGTACTTGTAGTCATGAATTGCTGTCTCCTCCAGTGACATTTTGTTGATAAGAAATTGGATATTTTGAAATGGCTTTTCAAGCGCAATATGGGTCTTCACTTATAACAGAGTGTTAGCTTCTGAGCTACTCAAAGAATACAAAATAATCTATTCCACCTACTTCTGATCCAGTTACCTGTGAAATTCAACCTGGCATTTCTTCATATACATACATCTGCTCTTAGCGAGCGTGTGGACATTTTAGCTATCTGGAAGCCATAGAAGAATTTTCCAAGTGTTATGTTCCCCAGTCATCCATTTGTTCTCTAAACATGCAATAAAATGCAGTGATTCTTCTCAAGTTTTATCCACCAGACATTAGAATGATTCCTGGTGAACCATTTCTCTAGAAAACATTGGTAAATTGTTCTAAATCTTCTCAAAGCAGAAAAGAGGAAAAATAAAAATAGGGGATATAAATCCTCATAATAATAGCTAATACTTAATGACTATTTGCTATGTTCCAGGAAGTAATACTGTTTTACAATATCTTATTTGATTATCATATGCATGATTATCATGAAAACATTTTATGGATTAAGAAATTGAGATTTATGGCCAGACATGGTGGCTCACACCTGTAATCCCTTTGAGATGGCACTTTGAGATGCCAAGGTAGGCAGACTTCTTGAACTCAAGAGTTCGGGACCATCCACAACATGGCAAAACTCCGTCTCTACAAAAGTACAAACATTAGCCAGGTGTTGTGGCGTGTGCCTGTAGTCCCATCTACTCAGAAGGCTGAGGTGGGAGAATTGCTTGAGCCTGGGGAGGTCGAGGTTGCAGTGAGCCAAGATCGCACCACTGCACTCCAGCCTGAGCAACAGAGTGAGAGAGACCCTGTCTCAAAAAGAAAAAAAAAAAAAGTTGAGATTTAGAGAGATTAATATCCTTAAAGTCACACAACCAGAATATGACAGAGGATGAAACCCAGGACTGTTCTACACAGATCATAGCCTCCTCTATATTACACTGTGCTGCCTCTCAACCATCTAATGGTGTGTGTGTGTGTGTGTGTGTGTGTGTGTGTGTATGTGTGCATGCACACATGTATGTTGATAGAAAGCAGCATGTGCCAATATTGTCCATTAGAAGGATGAACTGTTACAGAGAAAGAGTTTCATTTATGTTTCTTATGTAACAGATGATAATTTATTAGGTCAAAATTTACTGGCTACAAATATCAGTACATTGAAATATTTACTGAATTTTGATCCTTGTTAAAAATACAAAAATGGAGAAGTCCACACACACTATGGAAAACCTAAAATATTATCATTGATTCATTGATACTCAGGATCCCTGTGAAAGGCAGAATTCATTTCAGACAAATGTACAATAAGATTAGACTAAAGAAGCATGAGCTAGACCCAGCAGAATCTCTTAAGTGATCTTTCTGCTGTAGCATCATCTAAATTCAGCTTTTTCTAACAGCAAATTTATCTGAATTACAATTAGCTACATAATAAATTACATATGGTGATGTACTGGATGAAAAAACTAAAGAAGAAAAACTTGGGGTCATATGACTCAATTATTGTAATTTAGTTATGATTCCTTTATAGATGTGCATTCTGGGTCAATTACACTTACTCATGATGTCCTTACAGATGTGTAATTATCCAGAAAACTTACTGGAGTGCTAACCAGCTGTTAATTTCAAATTTCCTAGAAAATAATCTAATGCAAAACACTTTTTAAAAAAGGTTATAAATCTGGAAACTTCAGAAAATATTTTCTTCCAGAATTATACCTAGTTTTCAAAAATGGTTATAAAGTAGATACATGCTGTCCTCAAACTAACTGTAAAGGCATTAATTTTTCTTTACGTTTGAAGTGATAAGTTTAACTACCAATAGTATATCCTAAAAGCCAAAATAAATGTATGAATTATATTTAGCCACCTAGCAATTTTCCAGCTCATTTTTGCTTTACAGTAGGCTAGGTAGTTAGTTCAAATCTATACATGAGGGAATTGACAAAAGAAACAGTCTTCATAAATTAAATATAATGGAAACAAAACTTAAACTCCAACTAAAATGAAGAACATTTTTTCTTTCATTGCTGGTTTTGGTTAACAAAAACTCATGCATCAGTAATATACAAAAAGGTCTGCATTTACTCGAGTCAGTTGATAAAGCATTTATTGAAAACCTATAAGACATTAGGCATTGTACTATGTCCTAGCATACAAAAGTGACTAATTCATGCCCTCAAAGTAGCCACTAAAGTGATGGGTTAGAGCCCTTTGTCTTTGTTTGGTAACGAAGATTACATAGGAATATTTATGTTACAATGAGATAGGTGGAATGATGAAATGATGGACACAACACAGAAGGAGCATGTGATTATTTGTGATAGCTACAGAAAGCAAACACAAAAATAATCCCTTTACTTTAAAAGACAGGGATTAGCGAGTACGGTGGCTCACGCCTATAATCCCAGCACTTTGGGAGGCCAAAGTCAGCAGATCACTTGAGATCAGGAGTTTGAGACCAGCCTGGCCAACATAGTGAAACCTCATCTTGGCATGCGCCTGTAATTCCAGCTACTCAGGAGGCTGAGGCAGGAGAATTGGTTGAGCCCGGGAGGCAGAGGTTGCAATGAGCCAAGATGGCACCACTACACTCCAGTCTGGGCAACACAGAAAGACTCCATCTCAAAAGAAAAAATGGAATAAGGGAGCAAATCTAATGTGCACCTATTATGCAAAGCCCTATAGTAGATATGCAGAAGCCAAAAATGACTGACATTGGCCCCAGAAACAAGGATTTCCAAATTCTAAGCAATATTTCCTCAATGCAGATGCTTTCCACGGAAGGAAAAGCTTAACTAAATTGTTCAGTGAGTTCTTTCGAAAGCTGTAAATTTGCTGTATCCTTCCTACCTCACTGTTGCCTAATTTATAGGCAACACTAAAATAAGAAAGATATCATGTTTGGCAGCTGGTCCTGTTTATTGAGTAACTTTGAGGAATCATTTCACCTCTCTGAAGCTCCATTTTCTCATCTGTAAACTAAAGGGCTTAGAGCTAGGTGATCACTAAGGTGCTTTCCAGCTCTAATAACCTGTGCTGTCAATCCACAAAGTAACTGTTCTATTCTTGACTTCCTCATAAGCAGATTAGCAACATTCTCCGTGGAGCAACATGTGGGAAGAATAAAACAAATCCTCCTTGAGCCAAAAAGTCTGCTTCTACCTGCTGGCTCATCTCTGAAGTGTCATTTTATGACTTTAATCCCTACTATGCTGAAAACAATCCAGAAAGGTATTTCAGTATGTTATTGTTTCTTTTAAGTCTTTGTGTATAATGAGCAGAGGAGAGGGCGGGAAGGAGAGCGGGTGAGTGTGGGAGTGGCTGGAGGATGGGGCCTAGGACTCTTATCAGAAGCCACATTTCACCTAGTTTTTACATGAACTAAATCTAAACTAGGTGAACTGAATCTAAAACTAAAATTAGATCTTTTTTTTTTTTTTTTTTTTGAGACAGAGTCTTGCCCTGTCGCCCAGGCTGGAGTGCAATGTCGCAATCTCACTGCAACTTCCGCCTCCCAGGTTCAAGTGATTCTCCTGCCTTAGTCTCCTGAGTAGCTGGGAGTACAAGCACCCGCATTGATACCTGGCAAGTTTTTGTATTTTTAGTAGAGATGGGGGTTTCACCATGTTGGCCAGGCCAGCATTGAACTTCTGACCTCAAGTGATCCGCCCACCTTGGCCTCCAAAGTTCTGGGATTTACAGGCATGAGCTACCGTGCCTGTCCTAAAATAAGATCTGGTTTGAATATCGAATGTATCTGGGCAATGGCAAAATTAAGGCCAATATAGTCGACATCTTGCATCAGAATCCACAGGCTGTGAGGGACCCCTGTGAGCTCCCTTCCCAGTTGAGGATAGGTGAAGAAGTGCTGGGCCAAAAGCCCAGTCCTGGAGGAGGGCATGCCTGCCATGGTGCAGAACTGGCAGGTAAGTGGTGGGATAGGGCCTAACCCTTAGTCAGATCCTTTGCTATTACCCTGTCCTCTAGACTAGACTCCAGGCCATTAGGAAGCACAAACGTAATTCCACAGTGGCCTTGGTTTTTGTAAAGTGCTGTACTCATGGTCATGGAAAGGGAATTACTTTTTATTATTCATTGCTTGCCCGTATTTCTCTCTCTTCTCCTCAATTCCTTCCTGCATCAAAGATGTTTCATTTTGCCCATCTGAACCTTCTTCCCCTATTCACAGGAGAAGTTAGGGAAGCCCTTTATTTGTTAAGGTGCACCTGGCCCTTGGATTTGTTGGACAATTGGGTAGAAGCTGATAAAATACTTCCCTACAAGCCAAAGGAGCGGGAGAAGCAAGTGGCCTTTACTGAAGCTCCCAATACAGAGCAGGAGGAGTAATCTTGGCCTCTTCCAGAGCCCCAGATTCCAGAACAAAGGCTTGGCACCTCTCTTCCTAGACTACCCCTTCTGGAGGTGAAGGAGGAGAGACTCAGTATGAATGGACAGTGTCTTAAACGTCAGACATCTCCAAAGTCCAGCTGAGCCTTAGCCATGTTAAATATGTTCCAAGGCCACGGAAAGTTGACTGTGGTTATGTTGATCCACACCCTCCTCCCTCCACGCCCCTCCATCTCCCGCTCTGGTTAATGAAGAATTGTCTGTATGCTACATTATGGCTGAGGACAAAAAGACAGGTCAGGCAGCCAAGGCTGGTTAATCTTTTGGCTTTTCTGTGTCAGGACTTGTCAGGACTCTGACTTAGACAGAAATATTGCCCTTTCATCATTCACCAATGACTGTCAGTAAATGATGTGTTTGAATTTCCAGAAATATGATACAATTTCAAAATCTTGCATTTTGAGAAGAGAGATGGCCAAGTGTCAGCATATGCTTCACTGGTTTGCCAACCCTCGATCCCCATGTTCCCAAAGGACAACATGATGAAGACCAGGTGAACACCTGCAGTCACAGTGGGCTACATTACAGAAGAATCTTCACTTCAGAGCACCTGAATATTTCATCATGAGCATTCAGCATCCCTGCCCTTTGCCACAGTGGGAGATATTCTTTTTACACTGGATAGTAAGTGTGTCCGCCTTTTGCTGTGGCTGAAGACACTTCCTCTATCTTGAAAGGCTGTTCACTGTATGAACAGTCCTGCAGAAATAGCCTGCAACAAAGGAGAGCCAGAGCTTCACTTGTAACATGTGCTGAAACACGAGAGACCCGTGGAGAACTGTCACCCAACAATAACTGTGTGTTATTTTTACAAAAATAATATAGTTTTTTTCTTTCAAAGTAAGAACCAGAATAAAGATCAGCAGATCCGAGTCTCCAGTTTCAATTCATTTAGAATTTCCTTTTAACGGTTTATAGCAGTAAAATTGACACACCATAAATTAATTCATTTTAAGAGTAAAGTTAAGTGAGTTTTAGTCTATTTTTAAATTGTGCATCCATCACCAAAATCCAGTTTCAAAACACTTCCATCACCCCGAAAAGTTTCCTCAGGCTTGTCTGCAGTTAATCCTGGATCCCACCCATGACTGAGGCCACCACTGACCTGTCTCTACAGTTCTGCTTTTTCTAGAAATTTCACACAAATGGAATCCTACCATATGTAGTCTTTTGTATCTGGTTTCTTTCACTTGGCCAGACGTTTTTGAGTTGCATCTGGGGTGTCCTGGGATTCAGCAGCATGTTTCTTTTTATTGCCAAGAATTATTTCACTGAAAGATATACTACATTGTGTCTCTCCATTCATCAGTAAATGGACATTTGCATTATGCCTAGTTTGAGGCTATTATGAATAATGCCAACTTAAATCTTAAAACTTAAAATCTGTTTTTCCTTATTTAATTAACCAAATGAAATATCAAAACACTGACCAGGATGGGCATGGTGGCTCATGCCTGTAATCCCAGCACTTTGGGAGGCCAAGGTGGGCTAATTGCTTGAGCTCAGGAGTTCAAGACTAGCCTGGGCAACATGGCAAAACCCCATCTCTACAAAAAAATAGCAAGATGTGGTTGCATGTGCCTGTAATCCCAGCTACTTGAGAGGCTGAAGCAAGAGGATTGCTTGAGCCCAGGGGGTTGAGGCTGCAGTGAGCTATGATTATGTCACTGTACTACAGCCTGGGTGACAGAGTGAGACCCTGTCTCAAGAAAAACAAAACAAAAACAACAACTAAGGTATAGAGAAGTTTAGTAATTTTCTCTAGAACACACAACTAAAAAGTGTTAGAGCTAGGATTCAAATTCAGATAACTGAGATCCAGAGTTAATATGCTTAAATGGTGTGCGATATTTTCTGCATAAATGAAAACAAAGCATTTCTGGTAAAATTCTATAACTTTTCCAATTTCTAAAGTAATATAGATACTAGATACCATTTTTTCATGTGAGACAGGGCTGTTTCCAAGTATAAATGTGATTGTGTTCTGTTTTCCTCTTTTTCTCTCTTTCATACCCCCAGAGTCCCATTTCTTCCCTCAGTCCATACTGAAACAGAAACAAAGATGCAAGAACAAAACAAAACCACCCTTCAGACTCTGCAGTCTCAGATGCAGCTTACAGAGCTAGCATTTCCTATCCTGCCTACTAGATAACACTGAGCCTTAAAGGACAAGGAAAAAGGCAGAGTGGCCCCTAGAATGGGAAAGCAAGGATCGATAGAAGGGATAGGTGATCCTCAACCTGAAAGGAAAAGGACATCTGATGGAAAGAACAGGGGAGCAGAGAGAAAGAGAATATTTATTTTTAGAAACAGCCTTTTAAACTTGGAGACATTATGGTAAGTGAAATAGTCACAAAGAGCAAATACTGCATGATTCCACTTACATGAGGTACCTGCGATAGTCAAATTAACAGAGACAGAAAGTAGAATAATAGCAACCAGGGCCTGGGTGGCTGGGTGGGAGGAATTAGGAGTTAGTATTTAATGGGTATGAAGTTTCACTGGGGGTGATGAAAAAGTTCTGGAAATGGGTAGTGGTGATGGATGCAAAACAATGTGAATGTACTTAACGCCAGAGAAATGTGCACTTAGAAATGGTTAAAGTGGTAAATTTTGTGCTATACATATTTCACCACAATTTTAAAAAATGAACTCTTGCTAGTTCATCACTGCTTAGCACAGACAGCCTTGCTTTCAGCAGTCCTGGACATTGATAACCTCACCCTCCATAACAGAGATGTTGGAGGAGGAGGTAAGTGCACCCACGGGATACACCCCTTCCCGCTGGGAACAGTTGCTCTCTCTATGAAAGTCAGTAACGGATGCACCAGTCACACTTGGTTCTCACCAATGTCCTACCCTGTCCACAGCCGTCCTTTTAATAGCAATGAATGAATGTGTTGTATTGGTCTGCAATAATTTGCTGGTTGCTTGGCCTGCTCACACCATATGAAGTGTACTTTAATTTTTAACAAATCTCTGCTTTTGTTGCTTCTTTCCTTGCTTTGTTTGTGCATTTTGTCCAATTCTTTGTTTAGGACACCAATAACCTGGACACCTTTCACCAGTAACAAAAAAACTAAGGTTCAGAGAGGTTAGGCAAGTACCCCAAAGTGACACAGCTACTAAATAATAGAGCTGGGATTTGAATCAATTGCCAGCTGGCTCTCAAACTCCATTCTCTTTGCTAGACAAGAAAGCGCTCAATGCCTGCACTACTCATACCCCTGCCTGAGGAATGCTGCCCTGCTCAGAATACCTGCTGAAGTTTAGAACCAGGTGACCCTGCTTTTTGACCCCAAGTGATGGGTCATTTCAGATCCAAAGGTAGCAGTGAATGGCCTGGACCAAAAAGCCAAGCCAAGCCAAGTCAATTACACTCCTCCCCTGAGAATTTGAATTTGGAAAGATTGAGTGTCAATATACTTAACAGAAGGAAGGAAAGTCAAAGAGGCTGAATCAAGGTATGCCATGGGTGTATTTGGAATAAGATGAGCATGCTGAAATTATGAGGGACCACAAACTAAAGTTAACAGAGAAAGATGGGTGGCAGGAAACAAACAAAACAGATGGGCTTAAAGAGGTAGAGGTGCAACTGGAGAAGAAACATTTGGCCCATGAGACCCTTGAGAGAAAACACGAAGAGCCAAGCCTTCAAGTTACCTTTGTTTTCAGCCGTAATCCAGTCATGCATATCCCTAAAATATGCATCCTTTCTTTTTTTGAGCTCATTGGACCGTCCCCGTTCCTTGCAATCAAATAAGCCAAAATAAAATATTCTTTTTATTAAATGTTTGCTAGTGTGACTATTAAGCTTTTATTTGTCATAGTTATCACAAAAGTTTCCATTTCAGTTCTTTCCTTGCTTTTTTTCCATTACATTTTGACTTTTTAAAAGTAGAACCTGGCCAGGCACAGTGACTCATGCCTGTAATCCCAGCGCTTTGGGAGGCCAAAGAGGGCAGATCATCTGAGGTCAAGAGTTGGAGACCAGCCTGGCCCACATGGCAAAACCCCGTCTCTACTAAAAATACAAAAATTAGCTGGGCATTGTGGTGCACGCCTGTAATCCCAGCTACTGGAGAGGCTGAGGCACAAGAATTGCTTGAATACTGGAGGCGGAAGTTACAGTGAGCCAAGATGGCTCCACTGTACTCCAGCCTAGGCAGCAGAGTGAGACACTATCTTGGAAAAAAAAAGGTAGAACCATCCATCATATAATCAATAATCACTTCACCAGTCAAGAACTTAAACTCATGCAAATGATAGTAACAGAAAGCAGATGAGTGGTTGCGTGAGTCTGGGAGAGGCAAGAGGTGGGAAGAATTGGGAGCAGTGGGCCACAGTGGAATCTAAGGACACTTTGGGGTGATGGGTATATTATTTTGATTGTGATAATGGTTTCATAAGTGTATACATATGTTAAAATTTGTCACATGGTACAATTTAAATGTGTAGTTTATTGTGTGCTAATAATACATTGGTTAAAACCATTTTTAAAAATGTATATTCTTCTTCCCAACAGATACTTATACAATTCTACTCAACTTATTATGCTTTATGTTCTATGCTTACCTATAATTTACCTGCAATTAATTATGATATATGCTATGAGAGATATGTTTCTATTTTTCAGTTTTAATAATCTATTTTCAACAGTTTTCATAAATAATATTTCATTGAAAAGTCATGTGTTGAGCACTGTACTTTTAAATTTATTTTTATTAATATTTTTTATTCCTTGACCAACTTTCCTGTTTTTTGTTTTTTTTTTGTTTGTTTTTTTTTTTGAGACAGAGTCTTGCTCTGTCGCCAGGCACCAGGCTGGAGTACAGTGAATTTTCCTGTTTTTAAATGTAGATCTGATTTGGAGGTTTGAAATTTTGTTCCTTTGTAGTGTTAGAAAGTCATAGTAAGGCATGGACCCTAGTGAGCATTTTATAATGACAAGAGTATATAATAGAAAGAATTACTATTAGAACTAGTATACATATATTAAAGATTTTATACATTGTTCTCCCCTGCCTTGAACAATAATTTTTATTGTGCCTTTATATCTAAATAAGATCTGGTCTATTGTTAATCTGTCTACTTCTTCTGTACCGAAAATTTCTTTTTGGACCTCGTGGACCATACAGAAGTCTGGTAACAACATTGATCTGGTTGAGTTTCAACACAGGACTATTTTCATCATTTACCCACTTACTAAAACTCTCTTTTTCTACTACTTTTGTTCCAAAGTTCTTAAAGTTAATAGATTTAACTGAGGTTTTACTAAGTACACATGACATGGCCAGCACTCTGCAAGGTACTGGGAGTGCAAATAGACTAAGTTACTCTTGGGAAGCACACCCACCTTACTAACATGGCTTGTTCTTCGTCCTCAAGCAAATAATGAACTGTGTAGCACATGACAGGACACTGAAGAATAGACCCTGGTAAAGACCCTCCAAACGTAACCTCTGGCCCTTTGGCCCTTCAGGGATTACTGGGTAGCACTGCCAGCCCAGAGCTTGAATGGTTTACTAAATCAAACTCCACGAGGTAATGCAAAAAGAAGTCTTGTGTGTTCAATGCTGACAAGTCATACGAATGGAAACTGTCCACAGATTTATCTACCATTCCTTCTCCAGAGGAAAGAACAATCCAATCAAAAGTCCTAACACACCTACAAGTGTACAAGTGTATAAGTAAAGTAGAGGCACTGATTTCAGTGGAATTAGACCTTGCTGGAAATTTTGCAAAAGACCATACAACAAAAAAGTCAACATTTCAAGTAAATATTCCCACTCCAAATTATTAACACAGTCACTCTTATCAGTAGTTAGTATGTTTTACTGATCAATACAGCATAGAGGCT